TCTGTTATTATCAACCTCGCAAGCTCCCCTCCGAAGACAAATAAATCCTCTCATGACTTAAAAAAAAAAAAAAAAAAATAGGGTCCTAGTAGATTGTAAAAAAACTTAGTGGGTACCCTGGACACGACATACACCTCGATAATACACCTGGTTAGATTAAATTTCCATGAAATTCCCGTCAATTTTATATGAAGCTTATATGAAATGTTTGATGAATAAAAATGTGTCGACCTTGGCATGAAAAATGGTAGCTACGTTTGCGTTGTTGCGGGGCGTAACGTTGCCCATCTGTCATCGTTTGAGGAGCCGAAAAATGATTTAATTAAAGTTCCAAATCTGGAAACTTTTAATATATGCGTTGCTTAGATTCGGGAAAACGGCAAAGTACAGGAAAACTTATGTACAGGTAAATTTTAATCCAATTTACAGATCGTATGGATGATATTTAGTAAATTGTTTTATTCAGAAATTTTTATCACTTACAAGGGAACCTTAAGTACTGCCAACTCTATTTCCTTCCGGCAAGTCTTTATTGATAAATAATTCAGTCCAACTTAAACTTGAACAGGTTTGTTGAAACCTCAGAAAACTAACAACACTAATTTTTTTTTTTTTGTAATCTGCAAAAATCAGCATATCAAACAATTTTCAAAAACATTAATCTTTTACTCGCGAAAAATTATGAATTCCAGGGTCTGAAAATTTTCGCCAATTTTTATCAATAAGATATATATTGTACATCAGAAATTTTTGTACAGTACATGAAAAGCGTTAAATTTTTTAAGTTCAGTTCGAGCTTAAAGTAAAAAAAGATGACAATTTGCAAATTTTGTCAATTTGCAAAGACTTGCTTAATATTTTCGAATGTTTTGCATGATCATGAAATTATACACCCATTGGTATACATATATCCATATTCTATTAACTTCATTTCATCTCTCCGAATGTGATAGGCTATATTACTACATATGTAGCATTGCAAAAATTGCACATTTTTTAGTAAATCTGCTGAATATTACACAACTATGTGTAGTACACATAGTAATAGTGTAATACATATAATGATAATATAATGATAGTATTATGATAATACACACATTGTTTTTCGTACACGTGTAAAAATTTATTTATTCTATTACATGAAAAACGATTTTGAGTACAAGTTAACGATTTAGAAGGGTCATGAGGGTCATGGGAACTTTTGACCTTCAAATGGTCAAAAATGATTACAAAAGTTTCAAATTTTTGTAGGATAGTATAAATACCGATACTATAAATATATCTATCCTTAGATAACCGAGGCAAAAAATACTTAAGTCCATTAACCGTCTCGTATTTAATGTTTTTCTCCGCTATTTCGAAAGAATTTTCAACCTCATTGCTAATTTTATCCCACCGGAACCGAAATTTTCTTAAGGTATCAAACATTGTTGGGAATTTTTACCAGCGTAATTATTGCATCATGGATTTTAGCAAGGTCAGGTCAAAAAATTAAATTTCATATTTTTTTTATACTTCTTAATGTGTGGAATAAGATGACCTACATTTCTTTAAATACCTAAGTTTTTGGGGACATACAGGCAAGGGCAAGGAATATGGTGAAATTGATCCAGCGCCTGCTAAACCAGAGAGGTATACGGAAACTTTTAAGAACATATATTCTCTTCGGTTTTCAATTAAGAGGGACATTTGGCATGGAAAAATTGCCTTCCCGGATTTTTTTGTCCCGGTTTCAATGACGTATGTATGTAAGACTCGTAGAGATTGATCAGATCTTTTGGTGAGATTCTGTTGTAGAGCTTGGTGATTTTCGCGTTCTCTATTTTTTCTTGAGCTTCTAAAGTTCTGCCTTAATATAGTGGAATCAGTGTTTATTTATCTTTAACACTAGACACGGACGTGGATGGATACTTTTCAAAAAATATTCAAGCGTTTTTAATTTTGGAGCGGTCCATATGATAATTTATGGTGCTTTCTGTAAATTTACATTTTCGGATTCTCCATACTTGTTAATGTATTTTTTATGGCCAAACCTCTCTTCCTACAAAATTGGTCTTGCCTTCTTTGAGTCTTTGTCAAACGAGTTATGGTGCTTACGAAAAATTGTTTCCCGATTTCTTCGCTATGAAACAGTAAAAGAAATTTATATTCCATTGAAAACTTTTGAAATTTTGAGGATAAGTGGACAAATACATTTTGAATATCCTTCGCAAAAGGATAAACCTTCAAAAATATTTTTATTCAACATTCCAGCGCAAATATCACCACACCAATATTTCCCAAGAGCGTACAAGAAACTAGCATCTACGCATTCCCTAAAATATTTTTTATAGGAAAATGATCAAATAACTAATGAACATTATTACTGTGCAAGTTTTTTAGGATGTCAAGTAGCACAATGCAATACAAAATATCGGGATTACAATTTGAAAATTTCGTCATGCACAGGTTTCGATTGGTAGAAGGCAAGTTAACCAGTGCAGTAAAAAAACTGGGATAAAGCACTGTTAGCCAAGCACCAAAAATTAGCGAAAAATGAGAAAAACGTTTGTCGAACATTGTTGTTTAGTACGGGAAAACTGAATAAATATCTAAGACAAATGCCTAGCATCCGTCGCACGCAGTACATATTTTCCATGACCGTCATGATCGTCATTATTGTAAGCTCGTGGTGGTAAAACTGTCAAAACCGAATTTATTAACATTCGGTTACATTTCGTCACCGTGCGGTAAAACTTATTATACGAGTTATGTATGGCGGTGTACGTATTGTCGTATAATAAAGGTTTATTTTTGCGTTAACTACTTTCGAACATATAGCACGGTGGTTGCGGGTGTATGTTGCATATACAGTAGGCATATGGACTTTAATAATAAACAATAACGCAGCTTAATATGCAAATGCCTTGGATATATGTACATATACTTGAAATTTTAGTAATAAGCAATTGCGAACAGAAGTTCAAAAACAAGAGTAACTCTTGTCTTTGCGGAGATTGTGAAAAAAACTTCATTTATATCCTTCAAAAGTATTACCCTGGGTACTTCACACCAGGATAATCATGGTGAAGTAATAATTTTCTATACTTCCACACCAAAGAAATATCATGTGTGTGCTAATTGCATTTTCCTGAAAACTTGTCAGATTCATACAAAATCTTATAAAAAGGAAATAAATTATTCGTTTTTCAGTAATTGTTTGAAAAAGTTCCAATTACCTATATCCTGCCATAAGACCTTCATAATCACAGCTACTTTTCTGTAGAAATCACCATCCATTTTTAATCCATCCAGGAAAAACTGCATTTAGAAATTGTTTCTAGCGCATGAAACATCATTTTGTCAAAGTTTTATTTCAAAGTGTTATTGAATGTAAAAGAAAATGTGAGGAAACAATTCGAAAATTAAAAATTTTTACGTTTTGTTCATAAATTTTTGGTTTACTTATATACAAAATTAGAACACAACCAATAAATATAGGAAAATGTATGTAACATTTGATTTAGTTATATTTGAAAAAAATACCACGCACTTCTTACATTTATCAAGTTTACAATTGGTGCAAGATAATTTATTTCAAATACCTAGCCACGCACAACTTAATTTATTAAGTTACAAAGAATTTCATAAATTTAAATGCAATTTTTTTCTTCGAGGATAATTCTAAAATTCGTTGTAAACCAAATATTAATTTCGTAATTGTTAAATTTATCTGCACATCGAAGAAAGCAATGCAAAGATAATTATGTGCTAATTAGATTTTTATGATAAATTAAATTCATACAAAATCCATAAAACCAACGAAATAAATACTATTTCGAAAAATTGCCATTTATTTATACTGATTAAGCGGAAAGTACTATATCTGGATAAAGAACTTAATTAGTTTTCTATAAAAATCACTACAACTTTTAAATCAATCCATGAACATAGAAACATATTTTACTGTTTCATAACGTGCTTACTAATAATTTGAAACTTACATTTTTGCACTTAATTTTATCATAATTTCGACACACCTCGCTTCCTAAACAAATGACCAAAAAAATCTTGAGCATTGAGTTTAAAAGAAAATCGTAGAAAAAGTGATCTATTCTTATATTTAAGAACATTTGCCGTGAAATCTAGCAGGTTCGGTGAAAATAAATGCCGGTTTTTGGGGATAACAATTGCGAACACGTAAACATAACCTGGATCGAACTAAAACTTAAGAGCTTACTGTAAGATTTCATATATAAGATTTTATATCTTCATACATTTTCATTTTCATTTTGCCGGATTTTCTGGAGACCCTTTTTTTTAGCCCCCTCGTCCCGGTTTTTGCCCCGGCTGTCCCGGCAAACGCGTTTGTACGTTTGTACAACAAATCGAACCCACGATACAATTTGTCTTCTAAAAGTCCAAAATTAACTCCCAGAGATGAGAAATGATTATAAATATGTCTAGTTTAATGACTTTAGTGATTAGATATCAAATTATATGTTACGATGCGAAACGGTGTTCGGCGATTTTGACCGCGCCAATTTCAAATTGTTCACGTACAGAAATAAGGTATCTCCCCGTTTTCTAGAATGCGCGTCTTTCCGTCTGTGGCGGAATTTTTAAATTCATTTTCAAGGAAAATCTGAATGGCATCAAGTAATTTATAAAAATCCACGTAATCATAAATTAAAAGTGTTTTGTATTTTTTAAATTCATAAATAGGACGAACTTTTTAAAAGTTGTTAGAAACGTATTTTTATAATCTCATCGAAGTCGTTCTGACTAAACATGTTTCCCAATGTTCGAAATTGTCTCATAACTTACGGTATTTTGAAAAATTCAGATTTTGGCTGAAAATCTATTCAATAACTCCCCCACCACACTCATTCATTAAAACACAAAAATTCACATCCGCTTATTTCTGTGCATCAACAATTTAAAATTAGACCAGTCAAAATCGGAGAAACCCACTTGTACTATAATTGCAAGACTTTGACTTTGTTCGTACAAATAACCAGGGCGAAGTCGGATTTGTCCTGGTTATCCAAAGGTACCCAAAACTCGTCACCTTTACTCCGCAAACTTTCCCCATCAAATGCCTCTACATGACTGGAGAGAAACCAGTAGGATTAAACGCATCCATGATGGACACGAGCCCGCCTCCAACTTGCCTCATGAAAATAGTGACTGCCACCGGGGGTGAAATCACTTCGGCTGAAATAGGAGAAACTATGCTGCTTCGCGTTGAAGTACAACCTCAAACAATTTATTCAGGTTTTCCAAGAAACTGTGTTGCCAAGATTATGGCCGGAGATGCTAAGAACGAATATTTAGTTACTGATGAAAACGGATGTGCTACTGATCCAACTGCATTTGGGGAATGGGAAGTCGATCACAACAATTCGTTGCTACTCGCGCATTTCAACGGTATGGAAAAGTTCCATTAAGGAAATATTTAAAGTTTGGAGTATTAGTTTATTTAATCAAATACGGAATAGCCAGTAGGTTGAAAAAGTGGTTACCGCAGTGGGATACGAACCCACGACCTCCCGTTTTCATGACGGATGCTCTAACCACTGAGCTATACGGACACTGTGTAACCTTTGGCGATCTTAACTCGTATTTATGTTTGAAGTCTATTCTGTGAATTTCTACTTTCCAAGTTCCATTAACTCGGACTATGAAACTACTATGTTGTGAAGTTTAAATAATGATTTTGCCGAAATTTTGAAATTATAACATTCAATTAAATACATGAAACGTTGCTTCAGGCAGTTTGACCAATGATTGGAGTTTTTCAGCTTGAAAAATGTACAATTTTCAAAGAATTTAAGTGGAATTTGCCTCTTCCACCTTGTAAAAATCGTTCTTTTTTCTCCAAAACAAATTCTTACCATTGCACAAATTGCGCCAAGAAAGAACGATACTTATCAAAACTACACAATTCCAAAATTTCAAAAAAGTCCGAGCGTTACACTTCACACTGTCGCTCTGTACGTACTAATAATATGCAGATCCTCAATATTTTTCAGTCTTCAAGTTCCTAACTAGTGGCAGGATAAAGTTCCAGTGTAATGTGAAAGTCTGTTTCGGAGAGTGCCAACGGGTAAGAACTCGTTCAATTTATTTACTTTACCTGTATTTCTGGATTCTATAAGTAATAATTCAATAACAAAAAATTTGCAGTTTAATTGCCGCGACCAAATTGGTTTCGGGGGAAGAAAACAACAAATCTTTCAGGATCGGGATGCTTCCTTGTCGACATCCTTTCCTGATTACTACGTAGGCCAAGTAAGAAAAGAAGTAACGGTAGAGTCCAATCCTATTTTAGTTTTGGAACGTCGAGCAGAGCAGCGCACAAATCTATCCGAAGGTATGTAAGGACTACATATTTACTACCTTTTGAACAATGAAACTATGCGATGGTATGAAGTTAGACTCGGGTTTGGTTGGAATTATGGAATTATGCCGTCCAAATCAACACAACCAACGTTTCTTGACGCAGTTTGTGCAATAGTTGGAATTTGTCAAAATATTAGGCGAAATTGAAGTCGGGTTTGTGAACGAAACAAACCTACCTTCAATATATTCCTTTCGAGTATAAACGACTCTCATTTTCAACTGCTCCTCAAGTGAACAAGGATGAAACATTGTTCGTATTGACTTGGACGACACAATTTCAAAATTCCAACCAAAACCGAGTGTAACACTGGAAACGATCTTGTTATTAGGGAGGCGTCCATAAGTCATGTGACGAGGATGGGAGGGTAAAAGGATTCTTTGCGATTGGCCACTTTGCACTACTAATAATTTATGAACGTTCCCTCATTAATAAAAAAAAAATTAATCTTCACGGCGTGGTTAATTTAACATGTCCAAAAGGACGAAATGTGCCTGTCCACATTTTTACGGACACTTTTTACGGACATTTTTCCTTTCACATTGTGGGGTTTTTATCTCTCTGATCCTCCTGGCGTTCGTCGCAGTCTGGCTTTGGAACCTTACGCACAGGAGAACCCCTAAAGTAGTCGAGCCATCCCGCTAATTTCTGTATTGTACTGTAGTCATAGTGAACTAAACATTCAAACTTTCTCCAACTCTCTCATATATAATTATCGGACATAGTCACTAATAATTAATCACTAATGGTTTCGTGCCAAGTTTCTGCAGTGTATTGACTGAAAGAATAAAATCGTAGTTATTGATTTTTTATATAATGAAATGAGCCTAGCGATTGTGGATGAATGCTTTTAAATAAATATAAATAAATGAGGCACCTACAGATTTGCATAAACATAATGCTTAAAGTGTAACAAAAGGTATGTTCAAACTTCAAAAAAAGGAGAGCTGTATCGTACGTATGTATAATAGAGCAAGAACTACCTAACAGCCGTCAGCATAATAGAATAATGTCATAACAGAAGTTGTGCAAATTTACTTAGGAATTTGCAGAACAAAGTTTAGTCCACTTTTAGCCAACAACTAGTGTACAATTCATTCAATAATATTATTGTTAAGCAGGTAGTTGGTGGGTTTTTAGACATACATACTTACATAATAGAAACATGAGGGCTATACTATTTGTAAAATATTACGCATTTCAGGTGGTACTTTCAATTTTTGGAGTTAAATTTTCACATCAGCTACAGTTTAACGAAGTTTACGAGTTACATGGAAAAACTCTTAACGAAAGCCAAAATTGTCTCATTATTTTCACAAAAATATTTAAAAACTCAAATAATCGGTCTCACACTGAAGTTGACAATCTCTTAAAATCCATGAGCAGCCTTGTCTTAGACTTTTACAAGAAACTAGGGCCTCGCACCAGACTGAAAGATTCCCGAAGTCGACTCCACATGACGCTAAAAGTTATCATGTTGCACCTTAACGTGAGTTATTCCAAGTGTCCGCAAGGAAAGTCGGCGCACCATGTCGACATCAACTTGTCAGTGGACACTTCCCAGAAGCAGTCAGATAGAAGAAAGCATTCCGAGATATTCTGGTCTGGAGAAATTGTCCAAGTAAAATTCATTTCTTCTAGAAAAGTCGACCGTTTCCTTACATTCATGCTGCTCTTGGGACCCCTGGGCTTAGGCATTTTCCTAGCCACACTTGTTCTTATCGCGGTTCACATCGTCACCCTGGAACTAATGTTTAACATAGAATTGAAACTGGTCAGTAGTAACGGAAATAATACAAATTACAAGGATCCGTACACAACAATTTCCTCCCTAGTAGTCCGTCCCTTGGTGGACCAATGCGAAGAGAGACACAAGACATTGCCCTCCATCAAATTCTATTTCCGGTTAATTCTCTGCAACTGGTTGTTCTTCTGTCTAATCATCACGGAAACTTATCGAAGTTCGCTGGTTAGCTACTTAATGCGACCCAGATCGGAATTTCATGGCTGAAAACATTCCCTGAATTAAAAACTGACCCGTTAAAGAGAAGAATCCTAGGACTTGGGTTCCGCCCTGGACAAACAACGTCAATTGATGAGTTTATAAATTCAGAAATCGAATCGTGTCGTCACATTGATCCAAACCGGGTGACACTAATGCAGCATATTTTGCAAGAAATTGCAGCTACAAAGGCCCTGAAGCCGGCAACGTACAACATAAATAAAGAATTCTCATTGGGAAATATGATCCTTTTAGCGGATAGTTTTTTACTGTCTGCTTGCGTTAGAGGGTTCGAACGTTTTGTGGGAGGAAGATTTTACGAGATTTCGACAGAGTCAATCTCAAATCGTGTTTATTGGACGGTTAATCCTGGTCCTTTTCAACAACCGGTGACTAACGTAATGAGACGCCTGAGAGATGCGGGAATCATTGAGCATTTTCAAAGACAGCAAGACGTGATTGACCACTCTCTGGTCTTTCAGCAGTTGACCCGAAATTTTTTTAGTAACGGAGACGGATACGAGACACAAAGAACTCAGCACGAACTTGTCTTAGAGTTAGCTGGAGATGGTCCTCAAATTCTTAAACTTAAACATATTTACGCACTACTGTTATTATTATTGATTGGCTGGGGGATTGGTTTCATCAGCTTTTGTCAAGAATCTATTTGTAAAACATTAGTTTAGAAAGTGCTGTATAATATTATGATAAGTGTAGCATTACGACCTAACCTTTTAGGCTCCGAGTTTGGGAGCGCAACAGAACTTATGGGGTAATAAATCAATCTAGAACATGTGACATGTATGACACTAAAGTGACTTATCGACTATTAAGGGCAGTTGATACGCAAATCACTTTCTCCATTTTGCCTTCCGTTATACCAAAATTGCTTTCACATCCGTTACCAACAAACATTTCCAGTTTAATAAAATCATGATCCATGTTGACTTTTTATATTTTTCATAATAGTTGGTTAAATCCCTCTATATTTGTTGGAAAAACTCAGTACGAGTTCAAATGTTTGCATCGCAACACATTTGTTATTAAATATTTTGCCATCTTCTTAGGTTCGCAAATAAGTATTGTATATTTTCTTGATTCCAAAATATTTGCAGGACCTCGATGACTAAATTAAGTAATCAAATTTCACTGAATTAAGATTAGGCATGGATACCCACAATTGGTCACATAGACATATGTATGAGTTTTTTTTTGCGTAAGAAACAATTCAACGTCTCAACTTTATTCAGAGTTTACAGGATGCATGAGGGGGCGTTAAATAAGCCTAATTCTTTTAAATTTTACACTGGAACAACCTATTATGTACGAACCTAGGGTCGAGAAGGAAATTAGACCCACAACTTATCATACACTTGCATAGGGTATGCATATGATTGTTTATTTTGACTACCAGACAATATGTAAGCCATGGCGGCCTCTAGAACCACAGATTTATCACTAACCGAACGTCCATCTACATTCCACGAGCCTGGAGGTCATAAGGGCATTTCATGTGCTCTTAGGCACGTGCGGGAGTTTGAAGTGATACATGTGTTTTTTTCTCCTCTCCCACTAATTTCCAGAGAAATTATTTTCTCGAGGAGAGGAGGCGGGTGTGATACATTTTTGTGCTGAGTGTGTAGGGGGGAGTAAGAAGCATGTCAAGGTGGGTGGTTCACAACAGGGAACCACCCCCACACTTTATTTTCAACCAAAATTCTTGCATGCCACGTGTCCATCAACGTAGCTGCAATATGTCTTAGTAAAACATTACTAATATTATTTTTTTATGCAGGTTGGGTTGGGAGGTCGAACAAGTGCCCTGGATAGAATGGACGAGCGCTGTCTCAGACCCTCCTACGAGACTACGAGCCACCCTGAGTCGGTCACCACGCCGATTCTGGGGCAGGGGGCGGGACTGAGAAATGAGTAGTTCTCGTTCAGGTGGTCAGTCCGTGGGCCTTGAACCAAGTCCTCGCCCACTGTTAATATTACATACGCTGTGGTGGAGAGCGTAGAGTAATTGAGTTCATCACTGGTGGGGGGCTCTGCCGCACGGTGGGCGGCCCGGCGGACTGACTCTGGTGGGGCTGCGACCCACTGAGTTCCTCAGGAGTTGGTCGTGGTGGTGTACCACTGGGGGGTTCTTTTTTGGGCCGGTCGTCGTGCGGTGGAGGATTCGCTACCTAGGATGGACCGAAAAGTGGGAGGTGTAGAAATATGCCACCAGAATTTGGCGGAGAATGTCCAAATCTCTTTTTGGTCCTGACTTAATTTATAGTCAGGACCGGAGGATTTTTAAGTCATGGGGGGATTTATCTGTCTTAGGGGAGGTTTTGATTCAACACATTAAGGCACGTGCCGTGTATGGGGAGACTGCAATAAGCCATAAGTGCTTACGCAGCTGATTGGTCTTGTCTAACAATGGCAGGATCGTCACCCCACCAATACATACATACATACACATACATCATGTGCTTTTCACAGAAAAAAATTATTTATTTATTGTGGTTAATATTTATAACATTTGGGATCGTGAGTGGCATAAAAGTAAGTTATTTCACCCGACACGAATTTACAAGCAATTGTAATAAGGATCGCGAGAACACACATCTGTGCCAAAACTTTTGACCCATTTGGTGAATATAATTATTTAGTATCGTTAAATGTTCAATGTATGTAAAGTTTTAAACTGCTCCAAACAAGACTTGGATTCCTAAGTACATTATTCATAGTCATATAACCCGAATATACTCGTACATATTATTAACCACTTTACCCACATTACAAATACTATCCAACACCCCAATTTGCACGATTTTCCTGTCCATCGAGCTGTTTAAGCTGTTTTGCAGTGTCAACTTCCTCCAAAGAACTTCTCAACTTCATAAATACAGAGGACTACCCTGCGCACTAAAAATAAATTACATAATACACGACACGAAAGCAGGCCTCATTATTTGTTCCATTACACACTGGTCCGGGTTACATGATTTATTGGCCAAAATCTATAACTCTCGAACAACTCAATTTTTTCGAATTCTGCTTTCGGGAATTAAGGTATGAGGGTCTAAGGCGTCTAAGTTACGCAATTTTAACTAAAAGCCACACCCATCGGGGGGTGTGGTCAAAGGTAACTAATTGTTTTATCACGTTACCCCATCATGTGGGATGTCAAATTAAAGCTCTCATCAATGTATATACAATTCTGAATAAGATAAGTATGATAGGGGCACACCCACCGCATGGGGGTGTGGTCAATATATAAATTTGAAACGTTTGTTTCGATACATTCCGGGATGTATTTTCATAAAATGACAATATTCTGTCGTTTTGTGAAGTATTTCTGCCCTATGACCTCATTAACACAGAAAATGGGACAAAAATCAAAAAATTTGTCGTGCCTCCAAGTGGGGCCCCAACTTCATTGGATGTCCCCCAACGTAATAAA